AACTTGCCTGAGTGCGAGTCACTTCTCTCCAGATGTTTCCCGAGCGGGATTTGCAGAAGTCGACTTCGTTCTGCATGACCGACTGCATGTGCTGCATGTAGTTGTAGAGCATGGGCACTGAGATGATGCAGAGCAGGGTGGCCACGGTGGAGAGGGCCACTCCGAAGAAGGCGATTCTTCTGAGGGAGAGAGCCTCAGACTCCCAGTTCTTGTCTTCGCCGGTCATGGTCGTGCTTCTACGTTCGGCACTGGCATCTTTTATACGCTTTGTCTCCGCCCAAAAACTGAAAAGCCATATTACTGCAAGGCCTTCGCTTATAGAGTCCGATATCAATGACAAAGCATTTGAACATGATAGGTATAGCAATGTGATGCACTAGCATAAAATGAATTTCCTTGTCTTAGATTGCTACAAACATAGGTTTTGTTCCACGGATTCCGCGCATAGATCTGAGATTTGAAATTTTATATATAGAACCAAGTGATTGCTTTCCTGTTGAAGCGAAGCAGTCAAAACATCAAAATGAACATTTTCAGAGACAGTAAAGAGTGAATATAAGATAACTGGTGCATTCATAAATTACCAAACCAGTTTATTGAGAACAATCACTTCGACAAAGAAAACCCCTCATATTCGTATGCAAGGAAAACCTTTGATAGAGTTTGGCACTTTAGCCGATTTCGAGCGTTTACATTCTCCATTCTAAGCTTCTACAATATGTTTTACTGTTAATCATGTTTGATGAAAAAATTCGTAGAATGCGATGAACATTTCCTCAAAAGAATGTACATATGACTTATCCGATTGTTGATAAGATTACTCTAGAACTTTACGTTTAGTTCATACTTTATGACTTCGCCCAAAACAAATAATTTTGAAATCGGATAAATTTTGAAGGGCGTCGCGTGCTTCAAGAATAATTCTGAATTTTTAATCCATAATTTTTGCCAGTTTTGAAAAACACCAACTAGAAAAAGTTTATGGATTTGGACGTGGAGGGTTTGGAAAGTTATTAGCCCGTACCACAAGCATATTATAGTGTTACTATTACTGTATTTTTGGTTTTATTGTGCTCGCTAAACCTAGAGATGTCCGAACGAAGATCCTCTAGCTGCTGTAGAAGGTCCAGAAGTACCAGTTTTTCGGTTCTTGAGAAGAAAAAAGTTGCAATTTTTGACTTAGTCTGTATTCTTCAATGCTGGAAAGCTAAAACAGCTTTCCTGTCTCCTACTATTGACATCCATACTCCTACTATTGAGATTTCTCTTTTCCCTTTTTTTCAACGAAAGCTTTACGATAGCTTTGCAAACAGATTTTCAGGGAGCAGAAGGATAGCAGCATGCAGGGATGCGCTGAAAATGTTTAACTTGGAGATGTTTTGGCAGTTGCTGTGTGCTTTTATTTCGCACAGCTTCTAGCAAACTGCACACTTTCGAAGAATGGCCCCACTGATTCAGAGAAAAAAGTGAGAAAAAAATGTTTTGTTGAGGGCTCAGTCTGTTGTATTCCAAGACACAGTATTTTGTGATGAGCTCACTTGCACGCAAATATTCGTGCGTACAATCAGAACAAAAGAGCTTTTGGATGATGTGCAATCTTCTTTAATTTAAGCATTTCCAAAAATATCGATGTGAGTCCACATTTATTTTGTTTCAAGCGAGCAAGTTAAAGAAAAATTAGAGAAACTTATTCCTAGTTGGCTAGCATCATCAAAACGCCACAAAATCTGAATTGGAAGTACTTGAGGTCCGGACTTTTCGAGACAACTTGGTCAAGTAGAATGCTATACGAGTCCTATGTCAAAATGTGGGATCTTTGTGGGCGGAAACTGCGGAAGTATTAGGTGGGTCCGAGAGTTAGTGCTGTTTTCAGACCCATGCTCAAACCACTTTTGATAAAGATGGACAAAAGCTCTAATCAGTGTTTGATGCAGAATTTCCTTCTCTTTCTAAAAGGTATATTTTTGTTTAGATTGTTTTGTTGTCCCTCGTACAGTCGTCACAATCTCCAACCCATGCCTTTGCCCATCCTGAGTTAGGCTATTTTTTGAGATTTCTGTTTTCAACTTTTGGACTAGCTTCCATGATAGTTGAATAGAATGAACAAGAATGCAGCACATCACTTTGGAAACTCTAGCTGGCTTTTCAAAATTTTTAAAAATATTTTCTGACGCTATCAAATTCACATTAGGGCATCCCAATTCTCAGAGAACAATAAACGGCCAGCAACCAGGGTGTCATTCAATGAGTTTTCTGCTCCGCTCAGTTACTTGCTAAAATTAGCTTTAA